GTGTGTGTGTGTGTGTGTGTGTGTGTGTGTATGCATGCATGTATGTGAGCATGAGCTCTGTATGTGTGTACCTGTGGAGAAATAGTAGTATAGGGTGTCTTCCTCTACCACTCTCTGCCTTACTATCTTGATACAGGGTCTCTCACTGAATCTAGATCTAATGTTTTGGCTAGGCTATCTGACCAGCAACCAAGGTGATCTGCTTATCTCTGCCTCCCCTCGTCTCCTTGTTGGCTCCACAAACACAAGTTACAGATGCTTGAAATAACACCTGGATTCATTTTATAGGTGCTCTGAAACTTCTAAAGAACAACATAGAGGAAGTCTTCAAGATAGTAGCTCAGGCAATAACAAAGCAAAACCCTACATACAAAGGAAACAATAAAAAGAGTGCAAAGGGGCCAGCTGACTTGCCCTGTTGTTACTGCGGTTGCTGATTCCTGCCTTGACAGCAGAACTCCTGTTTGTAAGCATTCATCCTGGAATAGGGACCTTCCCTGTGACTCTTCTGGAAATTTCTTGGCTTCCAGCATGGCAAGACTTGGGCTACTGAAGCACCTTGCCCAGTGGACTAAGTACCATAAACTCTTATAGCCATACAGTGAGAGACAGCTATTCTGACACTACTCCATGTACCCTGTTCTCATCATCTGAAGTATGATTTGGCATCATTATTAGTTTAAAATTCAATATCTGTCTGTCTGTCTGCCTATCTATCTATCTATCTATCTATCTATCTATCTATTTGTATATATTTAGAGAACTTAACTAAAACTCATGTCCTGTTGAGATTAAAATTTTTCAAAAATACACAGATGTAAAATTATATAATTGATCTCCAGCAAGCCACCCTATGACTTTAAATAGTACGAACTTATGGGCAATCTGGTCTCACAACAGAGTTTCACACCCATCTTCTAGTTCACTTTTACCATTCCACTTTTTATTTAATGCACCGTATAATTTCATAAGTAATTATTTCATAATATTCCCCCAAATTGTTTTCAAATCAAACACAGGCATAAATCTAATATGTCTTTAATGAAGGATCAGAAGGTTTTTGATAATATGATCTAGTGTATAATTGAAGATACTTGTATTTTGTAAACGCTATCATTTTTTTCAATAATTAAATTTGTATTGTATTTGAAGGAGATAAATGAATTACTAATATTTATTCCAAATTTTTCTTTGACGTTAGCATTCATTCCTCCTTTTCATACTTTTGTTGGAATACAAAATTACTTTGACAAAGATCTGTTGTGACTGGAGTCTTCACATTTTTACTTGTAATTCCTGGAATGTGATTACTCACTGCTAGGTGGCAGTACACACTTTCTATTTTGTCCTACTTGATCCACTGAAGAACAAGAGTCAAATTTCCTGCACTATTTCCTGGAACTCAATTTAATGAGATGTTTTTCTCTTGAAAATGTCAATAAAAATGTACCAACTAAACTTTTTTACAACTTTTGGTAGTAGAATTAACATACTATCTGATTTTATCTCTGTTTCCATTTTATAGAGAGGCCTAAGTGTCTTGATCTCTAGCATATATTCAAGTACCTATTTGCGATTAGTTGACTGTTTTCATATATTTGGGACTAGAACTACATTGTACTGTGGCTCTATATTTCAGCAATATTAGAAATACTCGTCTAGTGAAGAACAAACTGTAAGCACATGCTGTAAGACAATGTACACAATGACATGGGGTGATGTTTTTATGTCCTGCACAAGAAATGAACAAAGAAAAAAATATTTAGAGTTTGCCAATTTCTTTGAACTTTTCTTAGAACAAGGAGGGGCATAACTGATGTTGATGGTGGATTGAAGCATCAATGAAGGTCATCAATATGAAGAAGCAGCAGAAGCAACCTCTCAGAATTCTTTCTAGCCTGCTTAAGAATGCACTCTCTGAGATGGAAGTATTATTAAATTATCAAATACTTTCTCCTTGGAGGTAAATAATTCCCCAGGTAAATGGACATTTTCTCCATAAAAAATATATGGGATGTACAAGCTAGTTTCACTTCCCAACAAAGTTGGGAGGGGAGCATTTGAAAAGTGAACTCAGGCACTGAGTTTTCCATCTCTGGGTTTTAAGCAATGTGGTTCCCCTTGAGTACTAAAACAACACACTTATACCAGCAAGTAAGTTGGAGAATCATTGTAGTAGTAAATTTTATCAAACGAAAGGTAACTGATTGAACCCCTCTATAACTTAGAGGGGCATTAATAGGATAAATTTTTTTCTTTTAGGAGAAAAAATAAGAATGAGTTTCTTTATTATTTATTTTATAATAAAAACTGCTATGCTCTTTGGCTGTATAATGAGACTCCAATTTTTCTCTGCATCAAGTGAACAACAGTATTCATGTTGGAGATAACAGGTGTGACAGAAAAGAAACAAAGCTTAACACGGTTGAGGAAAAACATGGCACAACAGAACTAGGTAAATAGATTCAGGCTAGAAAATGATACGAATTATCTGTCAGGACAGTAAGAGAACCAGTAGTGAGAAAAGAGTTGGTAACTTGTGCAAAGTTGTTAGGAGGACAAGAATATGATACTGAAAGTCAGGCATGTGTAAGTTTATCCCTCGGACAGGTATGAAAAATAATCTCTGGGCCCTCCTGCGTCGTCATAGAGCAGACAAGGCTACAACCACAGAAGGGGCGAGGAAAAGCCCACTGCCCTTTGAAGAGCCCAGAAGTTCCTTCTGATTGCTCTTCAAAGGGCAGTGGGCCTCCTCTGCTGGACACATGCGTAGTGAGGATTCTTTTTCCTGTCCTTTATCAAACTACAGGCTTGAAAGAAGGGACCAGTGAGCAGAACAAACAAAATATGTGGGTAAAAAGAATACAGTCACTATGTGGGAGCTGTTCTCAAGAGTCATTTAGGGAAGTTGTTTTGACAGTGTGTAGTGACTTTAGGGACTTGGGAACAGTTATGTTTCTCTTCTCAAGGGAAGAAGCAGAAGATCCAGCTGGAGCTGAGTGGAAGCAGCTTCTATCACAATGACGGGACAAGAGAGCCCAGTTCTAACTGTGTCTGTCTGGGCGGGACAAGGGAAGTTTGGATTCATTTTAGGAAGTCATGCTTGCTGCACACAGAACAGAACTAAAGTAAATTTTTTTTCAAACACTGATGGCTGTGAAGAAGAGGAACCTTTAAATCACTCCCAGAAATGTTGATCAATTCATGGTAAATATGTCTACAAAACAAATCTATGGTTGAGGTCGTAACCTCTGGTGGTATGCGATGCTATCAAGCTATACATGCCCTGAACTTGGCTGTGCTCCACAGAGCCTGAGGCTGGCTATCCACGTTGCTGATGCTAAAACTCAGTGACGAGGGACCCCTTAAGTGCACCAATCCTCCTGTTGAGGATGCTCAAGGCATATTTATTACACTATGGTGCCCTGATTAACTTTACTCAAAGAAAATCTTACCTTATCGTTAACTTATCAGATCAAGCAACCGTAATGCACGACAGTGTGCTACAGCTGATAGCAACATGGGTATCACCATCTGTGACCTTTTCTAAAGATGAAGACAAAATGCCAAGGACTGTCTTCTCACCCACCTTCTTCCTTCTCTCCCACCTGCGAACACCCTGTCCTTTTGGCACCTTCTGGTTTGCATAACTTCATTCCTTCTTCCATCTTTTCTAATGCATCTAGGTGCTTACCAAGTTAGTGTAACTAATTAGAAACTGGTGAGGTGGATAAACCCATCCAACTTGGCCTCAGAAATTAGCTTCTTAACCACTGGGACTGTAAAACACTGCTTCTCAAGTGTCCCCAAGCCAAGAGTAGCAATATTTTATGGAAACTTGTGAGCACCACCAATCTCAGGTGTTTCCTGACCTAGTGGACCAGAGCCTCATGATAGGGCTGGCAACCTGACTTTACACATGTGTTCCAAGACACAGAGTCCAACATCTGCTCAAATATTAGAACCTTTTCTTCAGAAAACAGTGGCAACATTATTAGGATATATACAACATTTTTATCTGTCAGTAAACCATTGTAAATATACATACCTATCTAAGTTTTTCTTAATCCTAGCAACTTTCAATCAATTCTAATTACAATTTGTTAAAATTAAAGTGATAAATATTGTCTTGGTTTAGGAGTGAAAGAGGATTATTTTTAGCTTTGGATTGGTAGTCCCAAGCTATGGAAGCTGTTCCAAAAATTATTTTTCCTCCTCAAAGCAAATACCAAAAGTTTCACTTTAGGTCTCCAATTCACTTCCTGTTACTGTACCTACACCAGAGTCCCAGTCGGGGATCAGGTCAGGTCCTGTGGGGAGTGTCTCCTTTTGAGACTTTTATTTACAGTTTCAGCCATATTTTCTCTATGGAGGTGAGTGTGATACTTTGGAAGCTTGAAAACCATATCTCCATTTTGCTAAAGACAAAACAGAAACAGAGATTCCGATTGTTCTTGTTTGCTTATGCAGGCTGGCTCACATGGCACCTGGCCCTCACTATCATATATCCACTTGAGGTCAAAAGAGATGAGACTTTACAAACCTGCTATCCAGGAGAGCTAGAGCATAACCCTTAGAGTGCAATATTATTATGCCATTTTCATTTTGTTAATGAATCTCTTCAAGAAAAAAAAAACTTAAGTGCATCAAACAACCATTTCTTTTTGATATGTCATGTCTTGAACTGAATTCAGATGTTTTCCCCTGTCTCAAGCAGAAGATCCTCAATTACCTGGAAAGACAAACCAAACGAAGCTTTAAGCCTTGCTCTAATTTCTAAAATAAAACTGGTACTTCAGGGAAATTAATAGTTATTAACAGAAATCACAAGATTTTTAAGTACACAGTTCATGGAAGAGTAAAATCTGATCTACCCACGCTGAACTGTTTTTCTAGAATGTCCTGGGTTAGACCTGAGAGGAAATGGGCAGGAGAGAGGGCAGAGAAAAATGAAAGTCCAGTGGATTCATAGCAGGGAGCCGAGACGGTCCACTCCTCACTCTCTCTTCTTCAGGCAGATCACTCTCCCGAATAAGTCTTTGAACTTAGAATTACTCAAGATGATTATGACTGAATGGCCAGCTGGGTATGCTGCCATGACTTCCTTCACCACAAAGAACTGATGGCTTCTGTACGGGACCCTAAATGTCATATTTGCCATGAAGGCAGCAAAGTAAGAAACAAAAAAACAAAAGAAAGTCGTCACTGTTTTTAATGCGTTTATGTGGGCTTCTGCTCTGGCATTTGACAGCTTGTGAGATCCGCCTTGCATCCGGTAGGTGTGCTTGTAAAGAGAGATGAATAACATGGAGGTGCACTTCACAAACACGGTGAGGGGAAGCAGTAAGGCCAGGTTAATGAGGAGCAAGTCATTATTTTTCATTAACTTGACATCACTAATGTTTAGATTTGTGTTTCTCAGGACATACCCATCCTCAATTAAAGGGAATCCTACCTCGATACTCACAGTTGCAGTCCCCAAAGAGGCCAGCAAGCTGCTCAGAAGGAGCCAAAACATGAGCTTTGAAATCCTGAATTTCAGCCAAAGAAACCATGGCTGAGTAAAGCCTGAAATCTTGAGGCAGTAAAAGACAGAAAGACAGGTGGCAAACCAGAGGCCAGTCGAGCTGAAGAACATCCAAATGAACATCATATTTGAACCATAAATATTTTCCTCATATGCAAATGGGAAGAACACAGAGAAGAAACTCTGTGTCATCAGCATCATCTGAAGCCCCAGTCTGGACAGTCCTGTGCATATCAAGAGGATAGGCAGTATCAGGAGCTTTCTGCTCTTGATCAAGTCATAGCAGTTCACCACGATGAGGAATCCATTCACTGTGGTCCCTATGAGGAACTCTGCTGTCATGACGACCATGTGAAGAATAGCTGGGAAAGGGAAGGTCATGATGAATCTCAGCTTTTCTCTGGAAGACCTCAGACCCTTCCTCCTGAGGGTCTTGAATGCAGGAACTGAGCAATATGGCGGGCTGCTGGCCCCTGGACTGTAGTAGAGCCTTACACATGCTTTACTATAAGGAAGAAAATTAGATGACTGTTTGAATCGGGTGCTCATCATATGAAACTAAGAATGCAAATCCAAACATTTGAATGACTGTTGATTCTTCAAGTTATATCCTTAGAAAATAACTGCCATGTCTGAACTAGTCTAATTTCTAATTTTTCTTGTAAAAACATCTGATTGTGAAGATGTTTCATTTCAACTACTGCTATTCTGGTTTTGTCTTTCGTTTTTTCCTACTGTCAAAGACAATAGCCCTAGGATGTGTGCTTATTTCTTTCTTGTAGCAATTGTCCAGTCTCAGATATCACTTGTCCCAGGATATATGGCTCTTTATCCAGCACACTTTTGCCTTACAATATTTCTGGAAAACTTTAATAAGATTTCTCCTCTTTATTAAAGGGTAGGACATAGGAAGGAGTGTGGGAAGAATAAACAACACTGAAGATATTTGAAAAAGCACTAGAAATAATTGAAATCCCTTTTGAATAAGCTTTCAAATATACGTAAGTACATATGTATGTACGTATGTACACACATGTATGTGTACATGTAGCTGCATTTAAATGGAATTAACCCTACCCAGGGATATTGTTCCTCCCAGAAGCCATAGGTTTCAGGTGTGGACAGCTTCCTTGAATTGTTTGTCAGACAGGCCACAGAAATCCACCAAACAATACAGGTTAGTGCTGGTGTTTTTCATTGCTCACAGAACTTATTGGTAAGATCCTATTGCTGAAGATACCACACATGTTGGTCACAGGATTTGGAGAAATCAACCTGGTAGTGATCTGGAAGCTTTCCCTATGCTGGCTTGCTTTTATAGCTGCTGTGCAGGCTGCTGGGGAAGGAAAGTAATTGTTGGTCTATCCCAGTCGTGATCCCTGTGACTTACAAAGATTGGCCTGGCAATGTGATGACTTGAATGTCATAAGAATAATCAGTCTCTTTCTGTTGGGATTTAAGGTACACTCCACAGGAGGGAACTTATGACAGATAGTGTAAATCTGACCAAGAACCTGTGACTGGGGAGCTCATAGGCTGTAGGGGAGAAAGAACCTGCTCTTATTATTTTGCTAAATGGACATAGCATCAAACTGACTTTTAAATATTTACTTTACTTCTATACCTACAGATTTGTGCAGATTTTAGTCTTCATCAGAGAAACTTTTTTTTTGCATGCTGGACAGTAGTTAAAACACAGATACACAGCTGGTGAAAGTTTTGAGAACAAGTGTCTATGGAGTGCTCATCCATAAATTGGACATCCTAGTTTGATATATTACATTCCCTTCCCAATTCCAAGGCTTACATAATAGAAGGTATAGAATGATTATAAGGGTCAAAGTCTGGGAGTGTCCATGTCCTCTGCATGTGACAAGACTATTGAACCCATAAACTCATGACAGCTTGTCTTTGTGGAAACAATGCCACTTCCGGATACCAATACAAGAGCTGCACAAGATTAAGCCAGTCTACATCCCAACATGGAAATAGAGGAGCACATGCAACCCTCCATTGACTGAAGAGCTCTTCAGATTTAATGGCCACTAGGGGACAAAGAATCAGTTTTCTTTGGATCTGTGGTTCCTGGTAAGTTGACCAGATGCCAGTGGATGGCCTCACACTTATGCTTGTATGGGTAGCACTATGTGGATTCAGCAGATTATAAAAACAAAAAGGAAGGCACGCAACTGAAGGAGATTCTCAGAAGAGTTGAGGGGAGGGGAAGGTGATATAAATAAATTTTATGCATGTTTGAAAGCCTCAAAGAATAAACTTAAAATATTGTATTAAAACAAAATGAAACAAAAATTTCCCTTCCTTAACAGCCCCACTTTCACTCAAGAGATTTGTCTCTTAGACTTCAATAGCAGTTTCTGGAATACAGGGCTTTAAAAATGAAAGCCACATCTTTTCTTAAAGTGAACCATGTATTCATTGACTTTGTGTTGGTAGAATGTTGCCTCTAGGATTAACAAACTGGATGTATAAACATAGTTACAGGTGATCTTGCCATATAAAATAGAAGACTCAATGTTTAACAACCAGCATGGGTCATAATCACTGTATCATAATCAGCTCCCTCTCTGGGATAAGAAGAGGCATGCATATAATCCTGTTGAACTCACACCAGATTCAAAATGTATAAACTATTCTACATAAGAATGAATCCTGGATAAGTTACAACATTCACTTCACAAATGTTAGTTGCTACAAACATTAAACATCTGTCTTTGGAATGTACTTTATCACATATGTACACATATATGTTGTATAAAGGATTTATATCTTTGAAAATACAACATATAATATGTTAATATATAATATAAGATGAAATTACATATTAATATGGAATATATTGCTATGTGTTATATACTGATATAGTGTTATATTTTATTATATAATGTAATATATTAATGTAATGTATAAACACATCCCATGAAGAAATAATTTCCACAGGAAATTAAAAAGATAAGTATATAAGAACATTAAAAAAAGACAAACAACTGCACTTTCCATCACTGTCCATGCTGATTATGGTTTCAGCAAACCAGAGTCTTCTACAAATTGTCACCTACTACCTCTTGAAAGCTAATGTCATTACTCTGTGCAGTGTTTCTCTGCAAGTGTCAGAACTCTATCAATCCTCTACACTTCACAGCTCACCAAGATGGCGAAGACTGAGTCCATCTCTATCTTTGTGAAATCCTGCTTTTGTGAACCAAACTATGAGCCAGGCTTTCATTCTGCCTGGCTTTTGCTCTTAGTGATTTTTTAAAAAAACCACAGCAGGATATTTGCATCTTGGAAACATTGCCCCTTATATTTTGTAATATAATGTAATATATTATATACATATGATACATATAATACTTCAGCTGAATTACAAAGTCCTGGTGAGTGTCCTAACCTAAAATGAAGGGAGGAGAGCTTGATAGTTTACAGCTTAGCCTCAGTTAAGACTAAGCTGTAAACATTAAGTTTGGATGCCATAGACCTTCTTACTTAAAATAAAAATTCAATCTTAGTCATCAGTTTTTCAAATGTCTGCTTGGTTTTGTACCAACTTTGCTTCAACAAACAGTCTTGCTGAGCTAAATGTCTTGAGCTAATGAGAAGTCATTGAGCCAATTTAAAGACTATGTAAGTAGTCATCCAGATGATAGGCACATGACAAGGCATTGATTATGTAATTCTACACTAAAATCTTGGAATACATACTAACTTTGGGGTATTTTATATTAAATTATAGCATATTTGATGTGATGTAACTATACTGTTTGAACATACAGTTATAATAAAAATTACATAATAATGTGCCTCTAATTTATATTTTATTGCAGTAATGAAGATCCTTTTATATGTCAAATATCTTTTCCATAAACCAGTGTTTGAGTATCCAGCAATCTATACATTTTCTTCCTTGTTCTCTAGTTGTCTGGTTCCAGAGTCTTCTCTAGATTATTCCTGAAATATTATGATTCAGAAAGGATGGAGTAGTACACAGACATTCTTGTGTACAAAAACATTAGCATTGAAATAAATATAGATATAATTTTTTCTGATGATCATTGTGAACTTGCATTTTTACACCTACCGCAGAATGAATATGAATTTTTGAAGCTTCTTTAAATGCCACTTCTTGGATAAATACATAATATATCAGATAGAATTTATCTCCATTAAGCATTGAAGTGCTTTAAAATACCTTGGCTGAGTTAGTTTCAACCCACCTTGCCTTTGTCACATTGACATTGGTGTGGCTGCTTTCACGGACTGGGACTGATGGATGACTCTGCCCTGATATTTGAATTTCCAGAACTTATTTCATTGTGAAATCCTGGATTCTTGCTCTCATTTGCCTCTTTAAGTACACCATTTAATTGAATGAAGTGGTTGACTTTGCAAACATTGGTCTAAAAGTATAATTGACATTAAGCTACAATTAGTTTGTATTTGCATTTGTGATTTTCCTGTCATATGTCTACTGATTTGCATTTACCCAGTCCAACCCCATCTTGGAAATGGAGTTTTGGTGAGCAGCTTCCTCAAGCAGAGACAAGGTTCATTGTGACTGATTACCATGGACAACTCATTGGCAATGATGAAATGAAGAGGGGTGCCATTCAAATTAAGAAATGTATAACCTGTTTAATGCGATAGATTTCTTTTATGAGACACAGTATTTATAGCTAAGTTTAATTATCTAGTCTCAATAAATATAAATTCTCATAAATTCAATGTTCTTGAGAATTGGTAGGCCACTAGTGAAATTGTTTGAGCAGAGTCTTTTGATTCCAAGATGAGGGCCATAAATTAGTTGGGAGATTGGAATGGGGTGCTGGCAACATGGCTCAGTGATAAAATATACATGCCATAAAGTCTGATGACCTGAGTTCAATTCCCAGAAGCCACGTTGGGGAAAGAGAGCACTGAATTGGAAAAGTTGCTCACTGATTTCCACCCAAACAAAGCACACAGGCACTTACACATGATAGATAGATAGATAGATAGATAGATAGATAGATAGATAGATAGATATTAGGCAAATAGATAGATAGGCAAATATATACATATGTGTAAGAAACAACAACCACAACAAAAATTAAAATTTAAGATGTACTTTAAATATTGATGTACTTTCCAGGCACTTCTCAGGTACAGGATATGCTGGTGTGGTTCTTATAATTCCACATGTTTGTATTTTTTAAACAAAGCACATTGATTAGGCTAGGTGCTTTACATACCACAGAAGAAGAGTGAAGTAATGCCCAGTCTTAAAATTTAAAATATTTTTGTTGACAATTTATCTCCTACCCTGAGTTTACCATCAAAGTTTCCAAAGAGAATTTTTTTTTGAGAAAACTCAGTCTATTAGAGTA